AATTAATAGATATAAAAGGACATTGATATGGGGTACTAGACTTATTTCTAATGTGATACAACTGTGGTTCGGACAGTTGCTCGCCGGCCAAATGCTCACCGGACAATTACTCATCAAAGAAATGATAAATAGGACAATTGCTCACCAAAAATTTATGTGTTTAAAGGACACATGCGCAAATTTTTTAACAGTCGTACCCTAGTCTCAATTGAGCTTGTCCAGAATTGTCCACGTTTGAAGGTTTAAAAGACGAGACACTGCTATAGAGAAAAGATATCTATAGAATTATCTCGAGATATTTTTGAAGAAATTATGCGATTTTCGTACATTTCAAGTCTTTCTGAAGATTATTTACATGTATTCAACACTCCCCGAAATGGCCCAACTGTCCCTTTCATGCTTGTTATAACAGGGAATCATTAACAAAAGATCCTTCTTATTTTTAATGACCTTTATTACAGGGAAGCAGGAAGTGTTTATCGCTTCTTCGTTGATGCTGTCCAGAAGAGCCTGCGACAGGATGTGCATGGGTCTTACTTGTGAAGCATTGGCTGTGTCGTGTGACTTAGACCGCATCTTGGCTACTTCCGCTGCTACTTCACCAGTAGTAGTTTAAAGTTACCACAGAACAGACATCTTTTTTACCTGTTAAAACAGCTCCTTTCACCCAAGCGACTGCTGTATCACGCACTGCAATATGATCAAGCCTTTCTTGGCTAGCTTAATTACATACATGTTAAAAATTAAATATGAACAGAAAAGAAACATGTTATAAAGTTGTGGCAAGCAATTGCCCTATCTATCTGGTAATCAATTGCCCGGTGAGGTACTGTCCTAAAATCGGTTAAGAGTGGGGAAATCAGCTGTATATAATTGAACTTTGTCGTATTGCTTAAGTAAATTTCTATGTAGGAGACTTTTTAATATCAGAAATTAGATTACAAAAATACAAGGCGAATAAGACTTCCTCATACATGATATCTGTATGTGCAAATATTGTGAACAAGATTTTATTGGAAATAAGTCGCTTTTGAAAATAATCGACATCAAAGTGGTGCACAAGACTTATTAATAGATTTGATACTTTTGAAAACATAATATGGGTGATATCTGATATAGATTAGAATGACATTATCAGTAACCATTACATGCATCGAAGTACATCACAGACCATATCTATAAAGTGCATCATACTTGTAAATATATTGTTTTATAATGTGTTTCTCTGTCACGTTGGCTCTGAAAATACCATCTGTTTTAAAAAAGATTGTTCAATTTTATATCATTATTCCTGCACAGGTACCTGTAGAGGGATTAGGAGTATAGGTCACGTGATAGGAAACTATTAGAATATTATATAGATTTATCAGAATTATAAGCATGAAATGATTATTGTTATTAATTATACACTTCTAGTTAATATTAAGAGCAAAGTCATAGGATTTGTTGGTGCCACACGTTTAATTGCTAAAAAGCAAGCACTCACTATTCATAAAAGTTGTTAACACTGTGTCTGTTGGCGGAAATGGATTCTAATTAATGTGTATTGCGAATTGTTAATGATGTTTACTACTTCTACATCTGTGATATATTTTATACTTCTATTCTCTACTCAAATAATAACATCATTATTAGATTCTTATTTCACAACTCTTAACCAATCTCATTTTTCTTTATTTCATTAGTTTTTCAATCTGTTCTCTTGATTATTGTTTAAGACATGATTTATATGTATGGTTGTTTTATCCCCTCTCATCTACGTGTTTTATTTGCAGCCGCCTCAATAATCGTTGACTCTATGCATATAAAATGTCCCATTTGAAAACTTAATTAATTGAAGACAATTCAAGGGTTTGAACCTGAAATACATGAAAGAGATTAAAGTGTGTTACTTGATGTGCTATTTAGAAATTGAACAAGTATTGTAGCCGGGTGTCTGTCAACTGTACGGACGTTTTGGGGTTGCTAATGGATTGTAAAGCAGATGTAATTATACTTGGAGAAACTAAAAAGATAATCAGCGGGAAGTACTTGAAAATACATCTCAGTACAGGCTATCTTATAGCAAAAACTGACGGGTGTAGTGATAAAATGAACAGAGGGGGAGGCCATACAAACTTCTCCAAATGCCTTGTGCACGTGGGTTTTCAAGACCGTCTTAGTTCCTGATTTTATCACATGCAATTGCCAATCAATGGTAAATAAGCATGCAATGTGTCTGCCAAAGGGCCTGCCAAAATTATCATCCAACGGTAATTTTGTGTAAGCCACGCGTTTGAGGAACAATAACTCTCAGTTGAACTGAACAGGTGAAAGCAGAACGCCGCGCCATATCAATGATTGATGTATCTAAAGTAGTACCAATTACATTTAGAATTTAATAGACATGAAAGGAGGGTATTTAGCGGTGCCAACGCAAATGTAAGACCAGCTGGGAGCAGTGTATTGCCACCAGTCCCCTTACACATCATTTGTTTTTCGTCTAAAAAGCTAAGAGGGAACGGCTGTTTTTAGCCAAAAAGTCGATAAATATGCTTCAACTCATCTGAAAATTATGGAAAAATTAATTTCACCTGGTCTTAATTCACAAAACAACACAAAAATCCAGGTAATACAAGCGCGCAAGACTTGCAAGAAAGTTTAGAAAAGTTCTGAAAAGTTTTAAAATACGCGCTATTGAGTAATACTGACGCATGCGCATGAATGTAAACAATGGCAGTATTAACTCTAAGGTAGAAGCTGTGCCATTATGACATTGACACGGTAGAGTCGCGTGGGCTATATCATTTCTAAAACTAATCCAACCAAGTATAGATTCATTCCATTTTCTTAATTTAGGCTACCTTTTTATAGTTTAAAAGTCAAATTTAAAATTGGCAATTGTATTTTGACAACTCTTTGCTTTGTTGAATTCAGTGATATGAAACATTCATTATTTGAACCGCGCTAGATATAACTGATTGATTTTCAAAGAACTTGGATAAGTAAATTATTCTTATTCAGGACTCGAAATCAACCCTATACACCTTAATGATATTGTTTTTTTTCTATATTTAAAAATGTTGTAACGTAATAGTTTTTAACAGAAAAAAAATGAAATATGTTAAAAGTAGTGATGGAGATGAACGAAGAATATCAGCTTTTAGTTCTACTGAATGATCAACTTGAACCTTACTTTGAGATTAATTGAACAGTCTATACACTTTACTGGTGTCATCTCGGTGCATATTGTTAAATACTTTCAAATCTTATGATTGTTTTGCCAGATTTTTCAGTAGCTTAAATATTTTAATACCTTGCCAAAGTATTGATTGAAGCTTATACTGAACGATACAGATTAAACGAATCTGTATATATTTCAAGAGATTTCTATTTTACTTAAGCTACAGAAAAAATTGACACTTTCATATGTGTCAAGCTCTAAATGCTTAAACACAATGTCAAATTATATATATGCTGAAAGACGTATCAAAATATCAGATTGAAATCAACAAATTGATGATTGTTTTAGCCTGACAGGCGCAATATTAGTTGTAGTCTACTCCTCACTGTTTCTGCTCTGATGAAGGCCTATCACTTGACTGATTTTCTTTTGATGTCAACTCATAACGAAAATAAACATAAAAACAACAAAAAATAACACCTTTTTAATTTATCAATGTAATCAAAACTTCTTTTTGTGTAAAATCAAGCCTTTTAAATGATGGGTATAATAGAAGAGAACATACGATGTTGTTATTCATAAGAGAATAAAATTCCCATTTAGAATACAATTGTTTTTTGACCTTGATACTTGCATACTTAGACATATAGAACAATTAAAAAAGCGTTTAATATCATGAAAAATACCCTCCAGCTCCACAATGTATTTCGATTCAAAACTAAAAATTAGCTTAAAAATAGCTTACAAGTTTGTGTGATTAATTTGCAAACCGCCTGGTTACTATCACTTATTCTTTATGAACCATTTATTGTTTTGATTTACTATGCTAATGATAAATTATGTATCTATCCTGTCACGCAAATCAATCCTTAGTGCTACTTTTTTCAAACTTATCGTGTATATACATATTATGTGCATATTTGTCTATAAATTCTTGTTTTGTTTCTGATATCAATTGGTTAATATCAGTTTATTCAGCCTATACAAATGGGCACTGAAAACCTGAAAACTTTGACCGAAATTTAAGTTGTTATCCATGAATATATTGGTTTTCCTCGAGCAGCCTTGGTCCTTCCATCATCCATAAGAAAAGAACAAACCATCCTTCCTCACACTTTTACAAATCTACCAAGGATATGTCGTATTGAAATAAATTTTATATACAAGATAAGGTATTAATAAAAGATAATAATTAATTATTTTCGTTAACTGCCATGCCTATATGGAATATGTAGCAATGTTTCTTGAAAAAAAAACATCTATCATTGAAAATATTTGAGAAAACTTCATGATAGGTTAACGTGCTTACTCTATAAAGCTGACTGTTTTTAAATATTGATGAAGTTTGTAAGATGACTACCGGTTCCACCCTTTTCCTTTAGACTGGTGCCAACACATTCTATTGGCTGAATAATCTAATCATTGTTTTTCATTCACTTAACCTTCTATTGTCATGAAACACAAATAACGAGTTGCAAGCAAGCCCTACACGAGGCCAACACTATAAAAAGCAGAGAGAAAAAGATGGTAAGATAATGGCCGGCAGTGTCCCATGAGGAATAAATCTTTATAAACTATCATTATGAATGATACGGGAAGCAAATTAACTTGTAATAATTTTCTCGAGTGTAATTTACCGTCATGTAGGTTAGACATCGAGGCCAAGAATCACGAACCTAACCAATCTGTTAACAAGGGAGATAATTCTAAGGATACTCAATATAAAAGTGAAATAGCGTTAGATTGTGGGAAATTTCTAAATGAATTCAAGGATAAAGTCAAGATAAAGAAAGGAATAAAATGTAAGAAGAAGAAAAATCCTCATCAAGTTTTACTCATGAAAAAATGTCGGCGGAGTAAAGCAAATGATAGAGAAAGAAGTCGAATGCATTCGTTAAATGATGCTTTAGAATCGTTACGTAAAGCGTTGCCAACCTATCCTGAAGATGCTAAATTGACCAAAATTGAAACCTTAAGACTGGCTCATAATTACATCTGGGCATTGACTCAATTTACTCAGGGATTAAATTCCACTGAAAAGGACAACTTTTATAATTCTAATAGCATGGATAGTTTATTCGGAAACATGATGATGGCCAACAAAGCTAATTTTAATTTCGATAGTTTCTGTAATAATTCGTTTTCTAACTTTAAAATGTGTAATTTATTGCCATCAAGTGAACAATCCTGTGCTCAAGGACCCAGTGACAATAATCTGGTCGTTTCTGAAACTGGACATCTTAAACATCAATCTTTATATATGTTTAATGAAGGGTACTCTTGACTCCCCATTTTTAAAAATTTTGCGTTCTTTTGTGTGATCTTGGTGAAATTTCGGATATAAAATATGCAACATAAAATATTTTTGGATATATCTATTTTGTGTACTCGTGTAAGTTTTCCATATCTTATTATTACATTTACTCATCATTTTGTACTTTTATACTATTAAATATGAAATTTGATACTAAACCTGAAATTAAATGTAAATTTTACTGTTAATATTTCGTTTTATTCATGGGAATACAGTAGAATGTTTTATAGTCTATAGATACACTGACTGACTCTTCATTTTTTGTCAGAGAAAATAAAATTCATTGATATTCCTGAAGCAGTTTATTGCATGTGTACCCCATTCAACTTGCTTCATCAAATTTCAATAAAGAGTGCAGTTGAGTTAAGAACTGCTTTTCATCATCATAAAAGGCCGACAGTTTGACTCCATAACTCTTACTTTTACTTCATTCATTTGCTGTTGAAAATGTGCATAACCCATGTCCTTCATTCAAATCATAAATGATATGTGAGGAAATAATTATTCATTTAGAAGTCATTTATTAGAATATGCATATTCAAATAGGCATTATGCAGGCGGGGGTTTCGCGAGCTAACACAAAAGATGCAAGAATATGCACTATATTGATACATGTGATTTTCAGTACTGAATATAAACGTTCGTATATAATGGGTATATACTTTTATCACAATATTGAATTTACATTACATGTTATATTGCATATTATCTCATATGCCTAAACAATAGCTTTGTGGTACTATTATACATTCAAATTGTACATTAGAGATTCCGTGGGTTTACATAGTTTACATTACATTTCAAACTTTCAAATAACTATCATTAGCATGGAATAATCATTATTACTCATTTGAAAAGCCAAAATACGATTCTTTTACAATAAACTGTACCTCTGATTGTGACATTAGTCTATGTTTCTAGGGATTATTAGAAAAAGCCGTCCCACCCCGTCTCTATATATTTTGGAAGGTTGCCGAACCAAATGTTGCACTTCCACCCCAAATATCATGCCTACTATGAATGCTTGAGATTGGACCCGAAACAAATGTTAAGACGATTATGGGTATTACTTATTGCCCGACAATGCTTGTATATGTCTGTTTTTACTTAAAAACAATACACAAAGTCTTCGAATGACTACGTAAAGCGACGAACTGTTTGTTTGAAATCGCTGGTCATCATCATCTTTACTGATATCTCTCATATTGTTAACCAAATATCAGAATTTAGTAAGTTCTTTCGAGGTTTAATTAAATTGATATGAAATTGACTTACAAGTAAAAAGATTTTTCAGGAGTAAGTTTTGGATGAAAGCTAGTTATATCCTCTAGCAGTATTGATTGGTTTTAGAATATACTCACTTTCTGAGTCAAAAAATAGCCATAGACAAGGGTATATATTTTTGGGATCACCAATGTAGGTCATGGTTTCTCTATGGAGAATCAGACATACAGATCGCGAATAATAAACCATATATTATCAGCAGCATGACCATACTCTATGATTAAACTTAAAACGCAATAAATGACAGTGATTAACACACAGTCGGAATTCTTTCATCTTCTTACAATGAATAATTAATTGTAAAAGTTAATTAATAGAAGATTGCAATGACCAATAATTGTGGCGGCAATGTAATATGCTGACTGTATATGCACTATTAATGTATAATTAACAATAGAAACCTATATAATGACAATGCTGACTACCCTTCCCTAACTAATCACTGCCTATAAACTCTGAATAATTCGTACTTTGAATTCTTCACGTGATTTAATATTTTATGTGGTGATTAAAGAGAATTGTTTTAATCAAAATTGTGCACGCAATTATTCGATACAGTTTCTGTGTGTGTTTCGATCTTGAGTTGGGTTGACATTGGGCTATAAAGATATTTTGATAATTGTTGTTTCCAACATTGCAAATAGTAGTACGTAAAACTCCGTTCATTTTATTTCATTTCCAATCTTGCAAAGTGAACCGAAGTCATAAAACTATATTCCTTCCTGTGTTACTTTTCAAAATGGAATAGTTATTGCCCTTGTTCTTGAAAATGCGTTCAATTTTTAGCTCATGAACACTCCAGAAGGCATAAATCTTGACTTGGTATGTGTGTCAGTTATCACCCAAGGAACCCTATTGAAAATCAGAAGAATCGAAAAATAATTAGTATGAGTTATTGCCCTTGTTCTTGAAAACGCGTTCAATTTTTAGCTTGTAAACGCTCTAGAAGGTTCAATTATTGACAAATGTTGACAAAACTTGGTTTGAGTGTTTGTTGTCACTCATGGATGAACCTTATCGAAATCAGAAAAATCGAAAAATATTTAGTATGAGTTATTGCCCTTGTTCTTTAAAAATGCGTTCAAGTTTTACCCTGTAAACGCTCTAAAGGGCCCAATTCTTGACAGATTTTGATGAAACTTGGGAATATTATTCAGTATCACCTCAAAAAGTTCAAAAGAAGTGTATGTCTGAAGGTTGAATATTTCATACTGGTAATTATTTCTGTACTGCCAAATATTTCTATTCAAAATCAAAGCTGCCAGTGGGTGCATATTACTTGCCTGGCAAGCTATCTTATATTCATACTTTCATATAACTTAAACTTCGTTGTCCATCCTCATATAGAAAATCCTCCTCCTCAGAATAACAATCTGCGTGCCTGATATTTATTTCATTACATGTCATTCTTGCCAAAAATAGTTTTGAAGCTTTGAACCTTTAAATAAATGTTACTCGCTGTGACAAACTGCCGATTATCCAGGGTTACCTTTGTGCAAAGGTTTTGGGCGTTTGGAAATATCCTTTGGAAAAATTTCCTTTCCGATATACCAACTCCCTTTGTAGTGTCATCTACATGAACCATAAAGCCTTCTATAAGCGTCGAATATTTAATGGTCTCATGGAGGAGGAACGCATGTTCATTTTTTCGAGGGCTTTATTCATATTTTCCCCCGATTTTGCCACCTCTCTGTCACGTTCGGACAAACACACTCTTCGATGACTTTTGTACGACGAATTTTACAATATTGAATTATGCATATCCTTGCGAAGTCCAAACTTATGCAATACACTTATGACCAAGCCTTTTTGGAACGCAGGATTGCGAGTTTAATTGTAACATAGTGGAAAGCAGGTCAACATTCTGTCGTAGGACTTCGTTAGTAACTTTCGTTACGTCAATACAATACTTTGCGTCCTGGAAAAACTAAAACTTCAATTGATTAGTCCGTGGAACAGTATTATCATTCAGTACATAGAGAATGATTAAGTTAGCTTTCTTTATTAGGTCCAAGAAGATTTATAGGATAACCGTCATGATCTTCTTTGATTTAGTTCATTGCATATTAGCATCACAATTATTGTAAACATAACTTTAACCCTGTGCCAGTGCCTTATATTGAATAGTAACTGGTTACTCTTCAATCACCCTAATCTCTTAGCTTTCGTGGTGGAAATAATCGTGTTGGAGTTATGTCCCCTGAATAATTTTCAAATCTTTCTTGATCTCAATTTGGATTTAGAGAATACATAATACAGGGCACTATAGCTTATAGACATTAAATGAATAGATGAATGAGATTCAATGTTTACGCTTTTTTGGAGTCTGCTTCTGATGACTAACGATATCTGATCTTCATTACTTTTTTATGAAGCTGATAATTGAAATCAGGAGGTAATATGCAGATCTATTGTACACCACATGGGGTCGCTCGCTTGGTGAATAATGCACATTGGGAATTCATGGAATCAACCGGACGTTCAATTAAACATGTTTGCACAGAGTTCAGAAGGCGTTCGACGTGTGAACACGGTATTCAAAATGGTGTTGAAAGAAATAGATGGGATAATTTTGAATGTGACATATCCGCTTCTGTACCGTTTTATTGAGGCCAGAATTGAAATGAACAGAATCTGTTCATAACTCTACGATTGAACGTGACCCTGGGTTCAAGGTAGAAAACAAGCGCTTAACTCGCTGTCAGTCAAGTATATATTGATGAAAAAAAATATTTGTGTCGCAAGTCGTTTTTAGCAATCTGTTCCAGGAATTGATCTCTTTGTATATAAATAATATATTACCCTACTTTCAAATTTCTGATCTTTATACATAATTGTCTTTGAGCTCATCTGGAAAATTCTGTTGTCCCTTATCAATTAAACCCCCCTCCCCTAATGATTCACAGAGACGTCACTGAATGTACCTTCTCCACGAATCTACTATTCAAATGATCGACTTGGTTTCTGGACAAAGCACAATATTTTCAGGTGACAAAACATTTAACTTAGTCTAAAATCCTTTATTTCACTGAAAAATGTTTACAAAGAGATTAGTTTGGATTACTTAATACTTGCTCAACCAAAAGACACACCGTCTTTCTCGCCAATCCTTTTTTAGTTTAGCTCTTATTTTGGCTTTACCTGTCACAAAGTTTAAATCATATTCTTTGACAATATTAATAAATCTTGAGATTCAATAACTATAAACAAATATTGACCAGTAAAAATATTGAATCTGTCAATTAAAATTAATCTCAATTTATTAAATATAGTAAACACACGTCAAGACAAATGAGTCGTGAAAATAATCCTTGGGAGGGAAAGGAAAGTCATCTCATTAAAAATATTTGTTTATTGACAACAAAGATGGCATTTGTTGTCACCTTACACAGTACTACATCAACCTGATGCTA